AAAGGTTCAACTATTGAAGCCTTGATTTTGTGTTAGGTCATCCCCATCACTCCTAAAAGTAGCCAAGGTCAAACAACAGCAAAATTTCCCACATCATTTTGTTGAAAGCCAAGGGCGTGGCCAGTTTTTCGACTAATTGTAGGCCTGGCTGACTTTCATTTCCGCATATCCTGAAAATTGCACGCATGATTAGTACGCACTGACCTCATCGACACTATGAGCTCTTGAGCTTTTTAGCTCACCCCAGCAACGCATAATTTATTACAAGCGGTAGAGTGATCAAACAAAAATTTGTAGGCCCGGTCCTACAGGTCCAGGGGCTGGCCGCGCCCCAGGAAACAGAAATATATAGTGCCATGTGAAAATACTGCTAAAGTACGTTCATTTGAATGGTCACACCGTAGGATTAAGTGATAGAACCTTATCATTCACCCTGGCAGTGAAACAGTTGAGTTGTTAACATTCCGTAGTTTCTACGGCCAGTCAGTCGCAATACTTAAAGGACTCTTGTCTCTCTGACCAGGTGCTGTACAAAAGCAATTTTGGCGAAGCAAGCATTTACGAGGCCTTGAAAGCGAATCAGGAAGGAAAGAAGCTGCTAGAAATGTAAGACTATTAGCATGTTGAATTGTCGAACACTTTTATCTTTTGGGTTGTCTGATGATGTACTTCGGGGGGAACAGAATGTCGACCTAACGCAACCTGGTCCCCAGGGCTTGACGAGGTTGGACCGAACGGCCCGAAAAAAAAATCTCTGACAAGATACAAGAGAGATTAGATTCTAAGACGAGGGCGACTACGAGTACGGGATTTTCCCAATACTAATGCACCGATCAATGGTTTGCCCTAGGATGGGGAGAGGGGGAGGGGGGTGGGGGCACAACCCACGGGAAATTTGACATATTCAGGATTTCAAATGTCAATTTCCCCACCCTTGGGTCTCCATTTTGAGTCAAATTCCCATCCCTGGGGCGAACTAATAGACACTCACAACAGTTTTTATTGCAGCACTGCGCGTCTCCAGAGAGTATTTTTTTCTTGGTGACAAAATAATGGCACCCAAAAGCTTTGTACATTTCCCCAAGTGTAGAAGACATATTCTAGCTGGATATTTAGCGTGGCTGGCAATTTAACACACATTTTATAGTTCCGAAAGTACCCAGCTTTGACTTGTTTAACACAGTATTTACAGCAATGCAAAATGTACAATGCCAGAATTTCATCAAGAAGGGGTATGTCTAATATAAGGGCTGGTGTTTGTAACTGTGGTCCAGTATAATTTTTTGATCTTTTCGTTATATCAAAAACTTGTGGCAGGGCAGCACCTGGTGAAAACACGTAAGTAGAAAGCATATTTTCTATAATGGGACTTCGTGCGAGTATTGTTTCTCAATGTCGAGGGACAAAATACTTTTTGTCATAAAACTTTAAAAACTTAAAAAGCAACAACATACTTCTAACTTTGGTTCTGCCATCCTTCACAAAGAAATGAACACATCAAAATGTGGGAAACTCGTCCTAATGACTACTGGGTATTTTCTAAGAAATTAAAATTACTCAATTTTTCTAATGGATTCCATGGCAATTTATCTTAAAAAGTACTAGGTTTGTGGATGGTCACACTCATTGTCATTACTGAACACAGCAAAGAAAGACTTCAGGCAAAATGCTGCCCTGAGAAATGATTACAGCTACAGCTCACAAACTTGGTTTGAGTGCTGTCCTGTATTCTCCAATTATTAAAGTAATTTGAAGGTCTTTATTGTCATCATCATGCCAGCAAATGAATGTAAGGGGTAATGTTTATCCATGTATCTTTGCCATCCATGACATTAACTAATGTCTGATGTTCTAGGCCATTGTGAGGAATGCTAAACTCATAGCCATCTGGACAAACCGCTTTAGTGTACACTCCTGTAGTGTTACTTATCACCCAGTCATTGGCTGTCATAGTAGACTGACAGGCAAATGGGTGAGCCTGTTGACAGTCGCCTACATACCACCGCTCTGTCTTGCCATTTAAGAACACACATGACTGTGGTGTTAGAGCCTTGGAAGGTTCACCTTCAGCCCATGTGAATACGGCAGTAGCCAGTAATACAGGATTGACTTGATCCGCGGCAGGATATGTCACCCCACACTTCATAAACTGGGAAAAATCAAGAATAACACCGGTTTCTTTTGGGCCATCCCAAAAAAAGATATATTCTGTGCTGTCACAGTAGACTCTTGATGATGTGTTTTGTTTGATTGCTGAACAGTTAGCATGACTGACAAATTCATTCCTTGTCAGCCCATTCCAGTATAAGTCAAAGATAAATTCCCCACCATGATTGTCACCACCTGCAGCTATGACAACGCTCTTTTTAAGTTTCCGCAATTCTCTTGTTGTTGGCCATCTTCCTGGGAAGTACTTTGCAGATTCATTGGGTGTGAGTACTCTGTTACCTAGATACTCTGCGATGGGGCCATTTATTAAGTCATCATGGCCAAAGGTGTGGGTAGCCCCATCTTCAAAGTACAAGCGCACAATCTCGTGCATGTTTTCTGGTTTGTGTACCCATTCACCTATTTCTTTTATGCCGTCCTCAAATGTTCTGTCCCAGGGCGCACATCCACGATAAGGCTTGCCATCATCATGGCTCATTAGCATCTTGCCAAAACACCACCAAGGGTCAATTTCCATGCCCCGTACACCCATGTCAAGTAGGTCGGTAAAAGTAAACTCCTGATTGGCCAGGTCCAGGCAAGTATGTTTATAGGGTGGCGGCCAGGGACAGTCGTCCAGTATTCCATACCCATCAGCTCGGTC